TATTCCGTTTATATTCCGTGGTCTGTCGCGGTTTGTCGGTTTTGATCCATAACTAAATAAATGAATAATATTAAGATTTGTATATAAGTAATTTGGAATGATATTATAAAAAAAATAGATTTTAATTTTATAGATTTGTATTGAAAAATATATTGAATAATTTATAGATATATGTAAGTAGATTTCGCGGTATTCAGGGGTTTGCACATGTCATTCAGGGGTTGTGGTATGACCTGCTTCTCAGAAGCCTTCTAGCATCAAAACCGTATTGTTGTGCGCCATGAGACCATGTCAGATGCAAGAAAAAGGCTCCTTGTCTCTCATTAAGAAAATATGTGACAGAAGAATGCAGAATAAACATTGACTCACATGTGATTTATAAATATAATGAAAATCAGGTTCTTCCAATCACTTATTTCAAATCCTGTGGAAGAGGGTGTGGTGATCTCTCGGCAGAATCTTTGTAATGATCATAGAGACACTGTATGCAAAAGGAAGAAATTTATCAACTCATTGCAACCAAGAGAACCAGTGACACAAGAACTCAAGGTTGACTTTACGCTGGATTCGTTGTATGCTTTCTGTGGACAACACAGGTTGCACAAAGAGTTAGGAACATTAGGGGTGCCTGATTCAGCTCTACTCAGAAAACGACCAAACTATGACAACAGACGACGCCAGTTCTTTGCAAATGCAAATGGACAGAAAGTCGTAGCTAGCATGCATTGGTTTAAGAGTCTGAGTGCTTTCTGTCCAAAGTTTGTTTCATTTATAGTCTTTAGTCATGCCATTGGGGGTGCTATTAAGGCAGGTGGAAAATGGCAAATGTCGAGAGAAATTGGAGGATCTTACGGCTAGAGGCTGCCGTTGCATTTGGAGAACATGCTTTCACAGGATATCTGAGATCTTTGATAAGCTGATGGAGTTCCTAATTATGTTTTGGAATCTGGGGAAGACGCTTCAAGATGAGTATGTGCACTGAATGCATTCAAATTGAAACCAATTTTGGATACCATTCAGTACTACTTTGAACTTGAGGTTCGCTACATGGTACATCGCTCTGGACCAGTCAAGTTTCGGAGGACGTGGAACCTGATGGGGCATCGAGTTTCTCCAAAGTGCTTTGCAGCAGCTTTGGGGATTGGACATGAGAGACTTCAGCGGCTAATGGGTGGACAAGTCGATCGACGATTCAACATATGGGGCAAAACGACCAGTCAAATTGAACCTGAGTATGTGCACTGAATGCATTCAAATTGAAACCAATTTTGGATACCATTCAAATTTGGAGAACCCTCTGCATTAAGTAGCTATCTACTTAGCCTTGAGATTTGTTAGTAACCTGGTTAGATCGAGCAGGGATTGCAATCCTAGGCTTTGAAGAGACCAACTCACAAAGCCATGTCTGTGGACCTGTACCTATTGGGTGTATACACATCTGCCGCTGGCATGTTGCCCACCAAGCTCCTTGTTTGAAGGATTGAATTTCACTTCAGTTAAAGACCAATGATTGTCACCAATTTGACCTAGGTTCCAGCGTGCTGCGCGTACACGTCGAAAAGCTGAAAAAGCAGAAACGATGCGCTGTTCTATCGGTGAACATGGATATGAACTGCAGTGCTCCTTGCCCACAACACACAAGTTGTTATGATTTAAGCTTTGATTGGCGTGTCATGATCATGATTGAAAGGTGATTCACCAGATGAAGCTTTGGACAGCGATCTGGAATCAGAGGAACTCTTGCTTCCGGAGGATCATCTAGAGCAAGATGAAGAACTAAAATTACACATTTTGGGACTCCAATCGTACTATACCAAGTGACATGACAGTACTTTGTGTTGTCATGATTTCCAACACTTTGCACCAACGATCGAGGGCTGCTGGGGGTCAGTCGCGCGTGAAGGTACATCGACACGAACATGGGTCAAAATCCGGTGAACCTCCCTACAAGATGGCTCCCCCCGTCGACCATCTCTATGTTGTTTTGGGAGATGAAGCAGAACACCAACACCGATGTGTCGAGACTTGACAAAACAATGAGAGAGAGAGATAATGTTGAATCATTGACTGAAGGTGCTTGGACAGAAACCATAGTAAGTGGTTTGCCATGGTTTGCCCATTGACTACAGCTGGTTGTCTAAGGTACATGACGTTTTGGAGGCAATTCAGACGCCGTTGGGCAAACATCATCAGATTTTTGCCTGTATCTGATCATTCAGCATGCGACGATTGCTGCGGGTTCAAAGAGGAGTTCCGTGCAGCCACCGTGACTCAACAACAATAGACACCGCAACTCAACACAGTTTATGTTGACTGCACTGTTGACTGCATGTTCCAATGTTTAAGAAACAGAATCTCGAAAGCCCAGGACGATCAAACACGACTGGAATTGTCACGACAATATAAAGCCCACCTTGACCATATCCGAGCAGACAGAGGATTGGAGGAATACCTACAAACACTTTCTCCACTTCAAGACAATTGTTCGGCACTGGTCCTCCATATGGAGTCCTGGCACACTAAGGTTAATTACTTTAAGTTTCAAACTGTTTCATTGACTGTTCAATAACTAAGTGAAATCCTAAGGATGGAATGGATCAGGCAAAGTGGTGCTGCCCTAGAAACAAACGAGCTATGATGCCGAAGGTGTTGAGCGGGTTACAAAAACCCAAGTTCAAGATACAGGGTTGTTGGCTACATTCACTGATATTGGTTCTTTGGACTATAGATTGCCGCTGCCCATCGGACTCTAGCATGGTTGTGGAAACAACTGCTCGGACGATACAATATGGAATGGACATCCTGGAAAGGAAAGGAAAAGCTCGTCCAGATCAATTGATACTGTGGGTTTCTTGACTTGTTTGAGGAAACCATGCCAGATGACCCGTCACACCAAGTATTTTGTTCCATGTGAGGCTGATAACTGCCCAAGAGAGAACAAGAACGCGACGATGCTGAAATTTCTGGCAATGATATTGACCCGGACTCAACTCAAGCTGGGTGGCCTTTTCTTCAGCAAGAAAGGACACACACACAATGCCTTGGGTAGTTTGACAGCGATTATTGCATGTCTATTTGTTTTGCATACCGCTTTGTGTTGCCACCATCGTGGCTGCTTTGGCTTGTACCCGAGACCAAATATATGGAATCATCGCAACCTGCTTTAGATATCTCGACATTATTTCCGATGAGGAAGATATGGTATCGTTCGCCCCTGAGTTGGTTCATGAATGCAAATTGTATCAAATTGTTACGTATACTGGTGTAGGGGTAGGGGTTCAATGGGTTTCATGCCAGGAAGTTGACCACTATCCTCGAGCGCATCAACATCAAATCATGGATCGGTGCAGAAGCAGAGATTCGAGTCGAGTATATCAATGGCGTTCGCCCTTGGAAGGACTTGTTACTTAGTCAAAAAGTAAGTACCCAATATGGACCTGAAAACCCACCGATCTGCCGTGTCTTTTTCATTTGATCATCCGTCCAAGGATGCAGAAGGCTCCGGTCTCGCTCAGCGGAGGCCTGAGGGACGACGATACAGGGCATCACTGCTTTTTGATGATGCGTAGACAAGGCGGGGGGGGTAGAGGTCTAGAGTCACTCTTGTCATATTTGCTGTCTGTGGAGACCTTCCACCAGAAGTACAACAGCATGTGACCAAATCGGGAAGAGGAGCCGACTATTTGCAAGACCATCCGCTCGATATAGTGTGCTTGCTGAAACGATTCGCAAGTGATGACCACTTGTCCCAGGCCGAACAATATGATGTCTATTTGTTGATTTGAATGAGCCAAACATTTGGAGTCAGTCATAAGTTTATTGCATCTGCCAGGAAGCTGTGCTCCTATGGCCCTATCAGTACACTCGACTGATTGGTTCAATCCCAAGTGATGCAAGACCACTTGCCCCCGTGAAGGATTCCAAGAGACATGACTATTTGAAGGTGGCTGAGATCATGCTTTCACGAGTCCCATGTGCTACAACAGCAAGAGCTGTGCAGTTTCTGATTAGGGTATGTGATGAAGGGTTCACTCCTGACCATCCACCTGACCTCCCATGGCTTGGGGACAATCTGCCGGAAGTCCCACAGATTGGAGTAGCCAAGTTGGTCAGTCGTTTAGCACCTATTATGCGGTTCCATGCAAAGCATAATCGTCAGCGATAGAAACAAACTCAAGGGTGAAAAAAAGAGTTCCTACTGTCACAATAGTGGCTTTGCTATTATTGCATTGAATGCTGTTTAGGCAATGTACATGCCATCATGTTACTTGTATTCCTGTCTGTTGCGCATGCCTAGGCTTTTGTGGGTAGGTTTAGAGGTGAACCAGCCACCGTCATGGATCTGATGGAGCTTCGAAGGCGAGGTCAACAAAACCAGGACCCACTTGCCCCACCGACCATGACAGGCGTCATCAGGTGCCTCGTGGAGAGGCAAAAGCTGGCAAAGCCTGGCCAATTACCTGACAGAGTGTTCCATCTCAACTTCACTTTTGATTGGGAGTGTGTCAGGAAAGGGAGATGGTGAGAAGACAAGTAGAGGACAATGTCACATACTCTTTGTGTTGTGTCTCTTCCTCGCCAACAGGACATGCTCGACAAGGAAGACTCTCAAGTAGATCCAATGACATTCGAGAAGGCCAAAGGGTTTGACAAACAAACGAACCAAAGGGTCTGACAAACAAACGAACCAACATGCACCAAACACACTTGACTGCCGCTTCAGATGGTGGACTTCTACCCCTACTGGCCACCGCCACTTCCATCTCCGAAGGCTGGCTGTCTAGGTTTGTCCGAACAACTTACTTATCTCATGTGCCATTTCGAGGCAACCAAGAACAATAAAAAAAAGAAAGCGCAGCTCGGAGAAGGCTGGGATCATCAAAACATGTCGAAACCACATTGCCTCATCTCCTTTGTGCACTTCACTGTCAGGCCTTGGAGTCACAATGACTCGATGAGCTGAAAGCAGGCTCTTCAAAGCAGGGAGCCAATCTCGCGTGTCATTAGACACGTCCGTACTGCCAAAAAAAAGAAGAATCTCAGTTATTGCTGTTTTCACTAATTGTGTTCAAGGATTCTTTGAATAGTTCAGTTTCCTGTTTGTGCCAACTTCAACATGTGTTGCGAAGTCGGCCCAAACAGCTCTTGCTATATATGGTGTCTGTGCGACAAGCGCTGCAGCGCATCCTTTGTGTCTCCCCGATGAAAGACCAGGGAGCCACGAAATCCAGGACAGAACACTTGTCAAACAAACCAAAGTGTTTTGTTGCTTCCTGAAGGACGACCACCTACACCAAGCAGAGTGTTGCGAAGAACCGTGTGAAAAAGAACATCTTGAAAAGGTCAATTTCTTCAGTTGAGTAGCATCCGACCCAGTCCTCTTTTGCCAAGGCGCAAGTATCCGAAGACATCGGTTCCCGGGGCCTCAGACAGCCATCCATGTCATTTTCGCTCAATCCAATCGACCTTTGGCTGGGCAAACATCTTTCTGAAGAAGATAGCTGATGTCTGGGGGGGAAGCCTTTTTGCTGAAGAAGTTGAACAAATGGGCATGGGATATGTCAACATCGTTTAGTGGTGTCGGGTGTGCAGAATCAGCTCGGTACTCAAGACTTGCAAAAACAAGATGTTCAGAAGGTCATGTGGAATCATTTGGGCATCCTTTGCCCTCACAAGCCCCCGGCGCCAAGGCTGCATTGAGCTTGCAGTCGGCAGCCCGATCTTTCCTCGCGAATTCCCGGATAACCAGAATGAGCAAATCACATGTTGTGCTGAAACACACGTGCGAAATCAACCCTGATTGCCAAGAGGTCTTGGCACAGACATATGGCAACTGCAATTTTTCAGACATTCTGTCTTTGGATTTGACTCGGCAGACATTCTATTGCACGACCCACAAGAAGATGTGCAATGTTCCACAGCGAACAGATGCTTCACGCAGCTCGTTAGAAATAAACATATTAAGCCTTGTTTTCCAAAACGCACAACAACACCCAGGTCTTCAGATCAACATCGCTGGTCCTAGCCTAAAAGGAACAATGTCACCATCATCATTCATGATTATATCAGAATTTTTCAATCCACCCTTCCAGGTCCGGTCTGCATCTTCTTCAGTGCCATGGGGCTTCGGCAGGGTACCAACGCGGTGGGGTTTGCGACCCATCAAGCATACTATGAGCGGGTGGCACCCCATCAGGACGTGATCATAGTGGAAAACGTGCCAGAATATCAGGAAAACACGGTGATGGGATGTTTGCCTGGGGGAAACCGTGTTTGGCGGATGAAGTCCATCAGACTGGACCCTGGGGTCCTAGGTCTTCCAACAGCGAGAGCAAGAGTGTTCATGATCATCTACAAGTACAACAAGGTCCAGTGGAACCCAAAATTCCACTTGGAAACCCTCACAGAACATCTTTGCTCACAAGTGGTGATGAGCGCTGAGAGCTACTTTTGGAAGAAGGTCTCCATCCCCAAGCAGTTGTCCGAAGCAGAGGAAACTCTTCTTAAAACAAACAACATACAATGGTTGGACAGGTCCACCACTTGTTTGTTATTGACTGAGCACTTTAAGGAAAGGAACCTACGCGACTACCATAAATTGTGCCCTGGCCTCATGGTGATGGATCTCTCTCAATACCCGAAGAACGGAAGAGGACGTGGCAACACGGTGGATGGATGCATGTGCACCCTCACAACCTCATCAGGGCGGATCTATGGTGAGGCCCTCTTCTTGTCGTGTAAAACCAAGTAATAGCAGAACAACTTGGCATTTCAAACACAACATATGTGCACCCTTGCCCACACTGCCAGGCGAAGCACCGTGTCCTGCACGGCGAGGAGCTGCTCAGCACCCACGTGCTACCTGTCACAGCCACTCAGGCGCGGAAAGCTGGAGCACCAAAACTGGCTCTGGGGACAATTAAGGACACATCCCAAGCGAAGATGGCTGGTAATGCAATGTCGGTTCCCTGCATTGGACTGATCATTATGGCAGCCATCATGGGCCTAGAGCGTGTATAGACAGGAACACCATTTGGCATTTGCACAATTCGGTTTGCAATTAACATCCCGGCCCATAGATGTGTTGAGCCATTAGAATGCACATGAATGCACTTTGTGAGGAAAAAGGCCTTCTCTGGTCACAAGAGTCACACAGTAGTCGTAACTTTGTAACGAAATTGGGAAGCTTGAATTCAGAGTGAACCTGCCTTGCTCTGCGGGTGAGGGTAATGGCTCCATCATCCATCCAAGATCCTAGCCGGCATGGGGAAACGAGCTTCCTCTGCTACTGCAGCAGGTGGGGGCAAGGCCACTAAGGTAGAGCGGCCATGGGTGGACAAGGTGTTGGCAGCAGCCAAGTGGTCTGGATGCAGTCTAGCCTAGCTAAAAAAGTGTTTCATTCCAATGGTTCCATGCTGTGAGAATCCTAAGGGTTGAAGAAACCATGTCATCAAGGTCATTCAACATCTCACAAGATGAACACCCTGTCAAGTTCGTCTTGGAGAACTTATCGGAGGGACTGTATGCTTCGTTGCACACATGGCTGAATGACATTTTGATGAACAAGTTCCAGCACCCGAAAGACTTTACGTTTCCTGTAATTAGGTTGCACACACACATGGCTTTCGGGTTTTGTTCAATAGCAAGGTCCAAATCTAAAGGTCCAAGTTTTCCTTTCACTGAGGTAAATCAGAAAGTGGTGCCACTCCCATTGCTAGCTCTGAAATATGAACGGCCAGTTGATGGGCTTCCTTTGCTATAGGAATGGTTGTTGACCTGCCATGATGTGCTGATGGTAGGCTACGAAGGTCACCGAGAGCCCTTCGAGGTTCAATGCCAGTCTGATGCTCTCGCCTTTGCATCTGTCACTGTTTGCAAAGGTTTAGGTCGTTGTTCAATGATCCTGTTTGCAGTGGTGTTCAGCTATTTGAAGCTGAGAGATGCCGGAATGACAGATGAAATCACAGCTGATTTTACGAGGCCATGGGTGGGGGCATATGCATCGCCTTTGCAAGAACAAAAACAACAACATCTCAAAGGTGATGGTTCCACTGGAACCGTCGCCTTTGAGGCTATGTTTTGGGCAACACTTCTGTTGCCAATTGCTTTTGGGAGATGTATGAGACTTGAAAATAGTATAATCCCCAAAGATTTTGGACAATTAGTACATCGCAAAATACTACAATCTCTAGGATCTGGGTCTGGGGAACCTCCTCAAAGGTGATGGTTCCAGTGGAACCGTCGCCTTTGACCAAACTAGATTTGGGAAGCACCAAAGGTGATGCATATGGGTCCTGATTCCGATGTCAAAGGTGATGGTTTCACTGAAACCGTCGCCTTTGGCGACTCCACATAAAGTTCAATCCTTGTTTAAACACCTCTGCACTACGACCCGGCAACAGGTGGTTGGAGACTGTGATTGACATCCCATGTGTTGTCGTGAATCCCACTGGCAAATTTGGTGCGGAATGGAGACGGTTGCAATCACATGAACAACAAGCAGAACGACAGCGTAAAAACGTTCTCCAAAAATGCCTAGTGTTTAGCCAGAGAGCAGCCCAGAAAGTGGCTGAGGAGAGTTTTGAAATCTGTTTGGAACTGATTGTGCAACGCACTGTCTAAACTGTAGCAGTTGTAAGGAAAAAACAATGTGGAAGTAACATGAAGTAACTATAGTCCAAAATTTGCAGCTGCGACCAGGAACCACATCGGTTTGAAGGGGAGGATGGCTTCAAAGCAGCATTTCTCGAAGGTTGTCAGGAATACAATGCTTTCGGAGCAGCTGCTGTGAGCAAGAGATTCCAAGTGGATGATGCAGCAGCACTTGCATTGTACGGCTTCAAGGTTTCTATGTTCCTGTATATAGTTGGGCATGTTATTTGTTTTTGATATTATGAAATATCATTAGAGAGAGGTGGACTGGACTCCGGATGACTCGGGGGAAGGATGGATCCAACCTATTGTCACCCACCTCTAGGGGAAACCATATTTCAGAGGGCACTACAAACAACGAACTAACCAGCTGAGGCTGGACTATCGCATGACACCTGGCGCATGATTGAACGCCACCTCCATGAGTATCGATTTGATGCATCAGGCCATTTTTTCGTATGCACTGTATACAGTCTTAAGTCTTGTTTGATCATTGTGTTCTAAGTTTTCCCTGCAGCCTTCAATCGGGAGACTTTGATGGAGACACGGTGGTTGATTGGGGGCAGCAGCAGAACGATCTCAGAACACTGGGATGGCATATTGCGAATGGTTCCAATGAAACAAGAGTTGTTCATGAAACGAATATTGTTTCTCCATTCCATCGCAGTGAAACGCGGTGGAAAATACAGTTCAGCCAGATTGGGCTTGAAAGAATGGCTGGTGGAGGCAGATCGAATCTGCCTGCTAGGGTACATTCTACAAGAGATGCAGGGGATGTGTGATTTGGACGGCAGCAAGACATTCGAGCCAGACCTGTTGGGAAAGATTGTCCAGCAAATCATTGAAGGGTTGGCTGGTCATGTTTTGACTGGACAGAGGACAGACTTTTGTTGCTTCTGTTGTTTTGACTGGATTGACTTCAATTTCAGTAGAATCCATTCAGTAGAAACATGTTTCTTTACTGTTCGCCAGGGATCACAATGCAGAGGCAGATGAACTCTTGGAAATCAAAGACCCTAGCTTCCGGGTATTGCACACACAAATCTTCCTCGACAACGCTCCAAAGGTGAAGCATGATGACTCAGCTTATACATCTGCTGAGGTCAAGGTATCCCAATTAGATGATGAATCTCGAAAAGCAGGGTGGCAACGAGATACACTAGTGTTAGCCAGAGACGTGGCAAATCTTGGACGTCTCTTTGAGGCTGAGGCCAAGAGTGATCGGGCTAAGAAAACGGCTCGACTCTTGCATTGCAAGGCCCAGAACACCATCGGTAGTGGGATTGTCAACGCATACATGACCCAGAATTGCAACTTTGTAGCGGGAAAGCAGGGAGAGTTGGAAGTGGCAATGGACAAGGTTGGGCAAACAAACATTTTTTGGTATTAAACATTGTTATGTTTCGACTTGAGAAGTTGAAGGGGTGCCAAGCATCTTTAAACCCTGACAGTTTGTGGCAACCACACCAAGTGCTGCTCACATCATTTGGATGGACTTTTCAAAGCTGGGGAGATTATCCATGGGAGATCTCAACATGGCTGTGGACCTAGCAGCTTCGATACTGGGAAAGAAATCCTTGAATTCAATTGGGATTGCTGTGTGTCCAATATTGCCATCGGAGAAGGCGAAAAACACCATTCGTGGCGAGATTAGGAGCTTTTGTTTCTCTTCCATGATCTCATTATTATATAATTGTATGCTTCTGTTCTCTGATCCAACTTTGGTCCGAATGAAAAATATGTCATGTCTTGCCCCAAAGAACATGAACAGGAGAATCGAAGACAAACTGGATGCTCGTGGACTATACTCGGAATACTTCAGCATCCGAATGTCAGCACCGCCTGCGACCAAAAAGGTACCCCTTCAGTTTCATGCATGGATGATCTTCGAGGAAGCCACAACCGCTGACAACATATTTGAGGGGTGCCAATTGATGCTGGACAGGCAAGGTTGTCGGACCAACCAATTGTGTGCAGCTGGTTAAAACCTTCTTGTGTTTGCAAATCATGGATTATGTTCAAATCTTGGGGGAAACACACCCGTCACACCTCCACTCCACCAGCCCATGGCATCCCATGGGACACTGTCCTCCTTTGCGCCAGATCTACGCGAGAGCTTCTGCCTTGGGCCGCAGAGAGTGCTTACATCGTCCCAACATCAGAAAAAGATTCACTCCCCCATGCAAGCGAAGGAGTCAGGTGGGGATGGGGATGGTTGGGTTGAGGTCTGAAGTATGTATAATAACTCATGATGAATGTATGGGTTTTGGGTCTATGATGAATGTATGTTATGAATAATTGAACTGTTTTTGTCAGGGCGCTCTCAGATGTCCAAGAAGCAGCCCAGTTCCTACATGGAGTTGACTTCCCCAAGGCCATCCTGACGTCCCTACTGGCAAAGACAAAGTTGAGTTCTGGGATTGTCTCACTGATAAATCTCACTCCCTACGATGCATTTCTGGAACGGACCTGCTTGGCATGGCATGCAGAGAACAAAGAAACAATTCGGTGCCTTTCAGTTTCAACCAACAGCAAAGTGGTGAACTATTGCGCCCAAAGTATTGCAATGGACCTGTTGGAGGAGATGGGTAGACCAAAACAATGTGTCTCAAACGTGGGTCCCTGTGGTTCTTGAGCTTGGTTCCTTATAACATCAATGATTGTGTCAAACAGGCTTTAGGTGTGTGTGTGTGTGTGCAAAGCATGGAGGACTGGAAGCGGGGAAATCATCAGATGGGCCGAGTTCGGCCCTTTGAGAAAGACCCCCCAGCACCACCAGATGAAGTGAACATCGATTCCTTTGGGTTCAAAATGGTCGTCGTGGAGAGGGTTCCAGGGAAAAGAGGATGGGCACAGTACCGGTTCTCGATTCCACAAAAAATCCGATTGTTGTACATGAACGATGTGCTCTATGGTCCAGAGTGGCGTCAATATTTGGCAGACTTCGACAAAAAGTTTCTTAGACTTCTGACTCAGAATCAGAATGACACCAAATATGAAGTGTTCATGCCAAATGGACAGTTGACTTCAAAACATTTTGTGTCGCCCAGGTTTGATGTCAACGCGGCTCCACCAGAGACCTCAGCTGTGGTCCCACACACAGAGGATGATGTGGAAGTCGAGGAATCATGGTCTGAACCTAGCACACTGGAAGAGCTCATGAACCAATACGTTATGGAGGCCAAGATGGCCGGTAAAGTCAGTGGAACCAGTGTGTATGTGGTGCCAGCATCACGCCGGGACGGCTCAGAGAGTGAAATCGTTCCGTCCCAGAAGTTCAAACTTTTCCTGGCTCCTGGGTAGGAAAGCTGGAAATTGTGGCAATCGTTGTTTCGGTTTTAGAGACTTCGGAAATATACTATTCGTAG